TGCTAGGCTAAATTATCACATCATCAATCCAATAACATCGATCTAGTGAGACATATCTACATTCGTGTATTTACGGTTTCCTTCAATGGCATCTAAACATCCTCCGTGGTATCCTCTCGAAATAGCATCTACAATAAATCCATAACCAAATAAGTACCCTTTTCTTTGAGATAGCAGGTAGACAGCATAGAGATAAATTAACCCATATCAGAGAGTATACATAAAGTAGCATGTCAAAGAGAATTATATGGGAGAATCTACAACCGCAATCCCTGAGCCTAAGAAGCATAGGTTGTAGATGAAAAGAGAAATGATCGAAAAATATGTGTAGAAGAAAACGCAAATCATAACTCAAAGCTTGGTGCTATGTTCTTACTCTCATTTTGAAGAAGAACAAGTCATTCATCGAAGAAACTTTAAAGGTTAAAGCGGCCTTGGACTTCCATCATGCAATGACAACTATAATTTCACTTTACTTTTTCCCAAGAAGAAAGTGAAAAAAAATAAATAAATAAAATATATGACATATAAGAAAGCATTGATACGAGGGTGGGGTGAGATGGGTTTTGGTTAGAAGTGCGGAGAGAGAGTTTGTGGTGATGGGGTGTGTTGTCGACCTTGAATACAAGCCCTATTTGGCTCTGATTGTTGAAGCTGGAGGTGTTATAGGGGTATTTTTGCATGATTTCAAAATATAAGAACTAGTAATTCAAGAGTGTTTTACTAGATTTTAAACTTTTTACATGCTGACATCACGGTTTGACTGCCGGTGAAACGGTCAACTAGGACCTGGCCACTTGCGGGTTTCACCTGAACAGGTTTAAAACCTTGGGTTCTATTTCCAAGATGTAAGAATAATAATTGAGAAATTTGAATGCATCAAGCTAACTTATAAATTTTGGAGAAATGCAAAAGAACAAACAAAAAAAAAAAAAAAAAAAAAAAAAACAAATTAAAAAGAAAAATAATAAAGCAAAGATTTAGTACTTACATGATCTTAACCAAACTCTTTCAATTGCATAAATTTTGTCTCCATTTAAAAAAAAATAGATTTAGGGTTTATAATTGAAAGTGGAATTGAAACTTTTACATACTTATAATTTGTACCGTCGTATTTAGTAATTTTATTAAGAAATAAAACTGTGATTAAAAATTAATAATAATTGAGCCGATAACATCACTCGTTAATTAATAGAAATAATCAAGTTCTAATACGGTGAAAATACTTGGAGCAATACATTATATAGTATTAAGGTATAACAAAATAAAATACACTGTTTTGTGCAGGTCGGCTATAGAAACCCATGACCATTTGTTTTTCAGCTGTGACTTCTCTAGTTATGTCTGGCGGGAGGTCACTACCAGGACACTCTCTACATGGCCTACTCTCTCTTGGCTCTCTTTGCTCTAGTGGGCTAGCTTGCATCTTAGACGTAAAGGGAACTTCAGACACCTTCTTTCTTGGTTAGTCCTTTTAGCTATAGTTTACTTTCTATGGCTTGAAAGGAATAACCGTGTGTTTCGTCAGCACTGTAGCTCTTGCAAAGATACGGTCTTAGCTATTTGTGATTTAGTCTAGGCCAAGATATTGGGTTTAGCACCCAAGTATGAGATCTCATCCCAGCTCCGTGCGATTTGACACCTTCCCGATTAGCTTTGTAGGGAGCCTGCGTGCTCTTTATGCCGGTTTGTGGTTTTGTGGTTTATGGCATCTTCCTGATTTGTTCTGTGGGGAGCCTGCGTGCTCTTTTATGCCAATCTGTGGCTTTGTGGTTTTCTTTCATGTGTTTTCTTGACTGAGTTTTATCAGTCTTTCTCTTGGGGTATGCCCCTCGTTTTTGTACATTTTTTTTCTCTTTTATAAAATTCTTATCATTCCAAAAAATAAAATACGCTTAATTTAGAACAAAAGTAGGATCACCTCTGTAATATCGAGACAAATTTTCGATGAGAAGGATGATACTAAAATCACTCGTATGTATATTCAACAAAATTTCTATTAAAATGTATTTATTTGTCTATATATTTCATTTAATTACCATAAATATTGTCAATAATTTTTAAATTGATGCATAACACTACGACATAAGATATAATTTATTCCAAATTATACTGTTACAAACACTTGGATACATAATAATGGAAAACAAGATATGGATTCAAGACGATGAATCCATATCAATATACAACTATAAATGGCGACTGTTTTATTCATATATATCAAGCACTCTCATAATTTATTCATGGAGATCCTTTGCTTGAGTGAGCTAGGGTTGATCAGGAGAATCAGGGCAAAAGCAAGGGCAACATCCACCTGGTGGAGCAGGCGCACAGCACACACAAGCTGGGCAAATTGGGCCGTCTTGTAGTAATACTCGATCCAAACCTGCAAATCAAGGAGTTAGCATATCAAAATGAAACCCTAACATCTTTACATAATCACTTAACCGAAAAACTTAAATAAGTTTGCAGGTAAAGATTAACAAATAATGTAGCTTCAAATATCTATGTTAGTATTAAGCTTTCTAACACCAACAAATGTTACAAAGTTACTCCGACGTGAAGTCATTGCGTCGGTAGAAGAGGCTGATTTTCTTGTAGTGCGTGTAAATATGGTGATATGTATGAGTTACGTGATTACCTTGAACTCGAGCTGCTTCGCATGGCAGCTGAAGGGGAGAGAGCACCATGGCGAAGATGAGGAGGGTCACCAGCAAAGATTTTGCGTTGTTGATTGCCATGATTAATCTGAGCTTAATTTCAAGAGAAAATGTAACTAATTATATGCTTCGGCTATATTACAAATGAAGCAAATTTATAGATTTCAAGAGTTCTTGCACAAGACAATATTGGTACGTATGTAATGCCGAAGTTTTTGAGTCAAAAGATTGGTTTCCCACTAATTAATTAACTAGATTGCTGTTATATTCTTAGAGTTGAAGTTGAATCTTTCAAGCTGCCAGATGAATTAATTTTTCATTGACTTTTTCATTACAAAATTGCGTGTTCGTGATATTTGAAATTTAATTTAGTACTGTATATGGTTTATTTTGTACCAAATTAGAAGTTTACGCATGCTTCGATCAATTCTTGAGGGAGACTAGTGTAACAACCTATCGCTACGGTCCCCTATTTAAGTTATAAATGCTCAGATAGATAATCGAACTTAAGATTGCGTACAAACATTTATTGTACCATCATATACAATTCAATGTACAAAATTACTTCTTATTTTTTTTTTCACACAAAGCTGTTTTTATCAATTTGATATGTCAGGTTGATAACATTGAGATTAAATTAGATTAACCATAGTCAAATCAAGAACTGTTTTATAATTAAAAATAAAAGTTTGACTATGTGATAACTTGCAACCTTATATTTTGTCTCTCATAATTCTATCAAGTTCTCCATGAAGAACTGTTTGTCAAGATCTGAATGGTTCAATTCATTCATGCTGAATCAGGATTTTCAAGCTTTGAAGCTGTTTATATATGATAGACTTTCACCATGATATTATGCTTATCCTTTCATATCAAGAATTTAAGATATATCAAGGCTAATATTACAATGTCTACGTTTATATTTAGTAATTTGGTCAAAACGACCTGTCAGTTACATCGTCTTGCGAAAATGACTTGTCGTATGTATTTTCTTACAACACAATATAGCGAGGTGTTAGTGGTAGGTAAGCTGGGTGGGACTTGGGAGACAAGACAGAGAGGCTTCAAGTTCACATCTTATAGTACTATAGCCAAACAACTAGGGCCACGAAGAAACGCGGTAAGGTTAAGCCAAAACACTAGGGCTAGGCATGGCTAGAGAAGCCTTATAGAATAACCATACAGCATAGGGTTTCCTGAAAGAACTGGTAGCGTAAGAGATAGACTTTGGAATGATCCAGTGTTCTAAAAACTGGACTAGACTGGCCAATCGAATCAGGAACCGGCAACCTATCTAGTCCGGTTCAGGTTATAGGGGGTTTTGTTAGATTTTAAACTTCTATGGGCTAATTCATAATTTTCTAGAGGTGTTTTTGTAGTATTTCAAAACCTCAAGGACTAATTGAATTTTTTGGGCACTTTTTGAAATATATTATATTTTTTAGGGACTACTTTGCAATTTTTTAGGAGCATTTTTGCAATATACTAAAATTTAAGGAACAAATTTACAAATTTAAAAAAAAAATTGGTTGTTGACGTCACTGGCCTGACCAACCGGTTAAACAGTGAAACGAGTTGTTGATCGAGTCAAAGTCGGTCCGGTTTTCAGAATATTGGAATAATCTACCAATACGAGGTAAGAAATAAGCCGACATTAGCGACACGATACAATATGATCGTTTCATAAATATCTACTTGAAAATCAATATGTCACATTGATAACAACGAAGATTAAATTGTACAGTAAAGAATATTAGACCAATATTTCTCTTGTATATTAATGACAGATTAGGCTTTTCTTCAAGATAACAATTTGACTTTGTGGGTTGTGGTAGCTTGCAAGCTTATGCTTTGAATTTTTGAAATAAATATCTTGACTGAATTTTGATGGTGACCAACTTGAATTTATGAAAGCCTGATGACAATTTGTATTTCGCCAAACTCCTATAATTTAATTTAATTCAACTCTGTAACCTGGGTTTGGATTCAAGACTAGAAATTTGAACAAATGGAATATAGCTTTTATTATTGCAAACAAACAGATAACATAAAACACCTCACTCAAACTACAACATTTCACTTTTATTTTTCTTACAAGATCTTCAAACTAGTTTATCTAATTAACAATGGTGACATCCATTCCTCTACTTATCTTCTAGTTCTAACTCTTCCGACAATCACCCGGGATAGAGATTGACCCATCAAGCTCCACAGCTCCACGATTTTCACCATTTTAGCTTCTCAGGGAAGTACTGCAACAACATCAATACACCAACTTCATGTTAAGAACAGATAATCTAATAAAATGTGACACGAGAACATGACTTTGAGCTAGCTCACCTTTTCGATGAGGGAGAGATAGTACGGCTTGACCTTTTCGATATCTATCCGGACTTTGCTCTTGCTGTAAAGGTCATATTTGCTGCACAGGATTGAATAAGAATATGGATAAGATAAGAAAATATAGTTAACCTTGACTTAAGTGATTGAATTTTAATAGAAGTTATGGATAAGCTTACTTGAATATTTGCAGCCACTTCAGATTCTCAACATCTTCCTGATTCAATAAGTGCTTATATGCTTCTGATCTGTGTAGTGCTGCAATTTGATGAAAATCAGATGTATTAATGCCACTTAATCACTTAAATATAAACATTAAACACATTTAGAGTAAATGAAATGTCTAATTACTATAGAATGAGTGGTATCTGATGATGAAAAGCGCTGCTGAAGGCAGAGTAGTGTTATTCTCCTTGGCCACCTAAATTATTTTCCAAGCTAAAACTTAGTTTGATGAATGTAAATTTATGAACAGCAATATGAAATTTGATTAAGGCTCCAAAATATTACCAAGTACATGTAGTCGTCGTGCCCCCACGACATCAGTACGTTGTTTAATCCGCATCCTTCATTGTAGACTCCATATTTAGTATTGTAAGCAGAATTGTTATAGTCTGGATTTTCTTTGAAATACTGTAATAACAATGCAGTATGCATCAGAATTTGCCTAAGGCCATTCTCATGAGATACCCTAAAACCGGTGAAAAGTACCTTGTGGTGAACGATTGATTCGTCAAAAGCACAACCAACCGGGTATGTATCACCTGCAATATAAATTTAGTTAGCAAAAACTGAAATGGTCATATTTGTAGCTTCAATTTTCACCTTCAAAATATGCAACTCACCGACAACAGCCCATTGCGGAAGCCCTCCAAAGCTAGGAAGAAGCAGCACCTTGCCGAGATCTTCACTCCATGTAATAACAAAGTTAGCCAATTTAGGAAACTTCAGGCACAATGTATCTTTAAATTATGCTAGAATTTAATCAAACAAGAAAAGGAATATACCATGAATGAGGCCAGTCAAGTGCAACCAATCTTCATCTGGGTAGTCTTTTCGAATAGCTTCGGCGGTCTGCAACAAGTGCTCAATTTGAGGTTCATCCAAGTCAGGATCACTCTCATCAACCACATCATTTAGAAGCTCACAACATTCCCAGATGCTCATTTCAACTCTGTTTAATTTTCCATACTCTGTCCTCATCCTCTTAACCTACAGCAAAATTAAATTACATTTTACAGTTAGAATATTTACAAAAACAGATAGAACATATTATAAAAAATAAAAAATAAATTTGAATTGCTTACAAAGTCATATGTCTGATTAATGTGATTGGTTCTATAGAAATTCTCCACCCCTTCTTGTCTCTCACTTTCAGCATCATAATCTCTGTGCACATGTTCATGTTAGATTCAATTCAAACCAGGCTGGGAAAAACAATTAGAAAAGAAAATAATAATAATACTAATAATTAATTTCTTTCATTTTATTTATTTATTATATGTGGATAAACCTTATTAAGCTATATTGGGCTAGGCCTGAAAATAAGTTAATCCACTAACTGTCGGCCGAATATGAAAAAAATGCATGAAAAAGATCGGATCAAGCCCAACAAATATTCATTATTATGGACAAAGCAAAAAAAAAAAAAAAAAAAATGGTAGTTGCCTGTCTAGGGGACAGAAGTCACAGAACATTCAATTAAATTACTTGTTGCCAAAGCCCAAGGGTTGTGATTTGCCGTGTCTTATATGCTGTATATTACAGCAAATAAACAATTGATTTATATTCCAATAATCCATCCCAAAAAAAAATAAAAAATAAAAAAAATAATTAATTCCAAATTTCAGGTTCGGTAAATTTTAAAGATATCCGAAGTGTTCCAAATCAAGTGAGATGCGACTTTGCCTGTGAAGTACTATTGATTTAATATTATCTGTAATTAAGGAACATAATTAATTAATTTATGATGATTAATTAATTAATTAGGGAAAGTGCTACCTAAAGGTGTGTCCAAAAGAATTGGTATGTGCCACCAGAAATCCACCATTCAACAAAAGTTCTTTCTGTTCATCTGTCACAATCGTTTCATCAATTGGGACTTTCTTTTCCTGTTCCTCAACTCCTGATTTTACAGCAAAAATAAATAAAAATTTGTGATTAAATCAAATATTCAAACAAAATTGTTTATTAGACTTCTCAGAATCTCAGTTTATCTAATCAAAAAAATAAATAAATAAATAACCCACAAAAACTGCATAAAAACCCAGAAATGTTAGCTCAGCTTACAGATTTTTTGTTTAAAAATAAAATAAAAGTTAAACCTATGGAGCAAAAATTTCTGAGGTTCGTCAATTGGAAGAAATAGAAAGTGAAAAATCATGGAGCAAAATGTGCCCAAAGAAAACCCAGAAAGCTATTTTAATTTTCAAAGAAGAAAAACAACAGAAAGCATGTAAAGAACCAAAAAAAAAAAAAAAAAAAAAAAAATTTACCAAAATGAGGCTGATCAATGATGATAGTCATCCTGAATCGAAGCTCAAGGAGCTGAAATTTTCAACAAAGAAAAGAAAAAAGGGAAAGAAAACAAGCGTAGAAACAAAAAAGGAGAAGAGATGAAGTGAAAGGTGCATTTTTAGGGTTGAAAAATTGGAGGGTATTTATAATTGGCCGGCGAGTCCTTCCCTGAGAATTCGGAGGTCCCGAGTCCTTCCCTGAAAATCTGAACTTTCTATGTATATAATAACAATATTGTTTTTATCATTTTTATATCCATCAGGTCTTTCCTTGATATTTATCTCTTCTCTATTTATTATTATTATTTTTGCAAGAAAAGTAAAATTTGATAGCTTTTAATAAATTTGATAACAGACACGTCCCATGCAAGTTGCCAACTGGCCTTGCAGGAAGATTGAATTGTAAGGTCGTGTTTGGGAGGGAGAAGTATAAGCGCTGCATTTTTTTTTTTTTTTTTTTTTTTAAGATTATAAAAACAAGAATTTTCTTTTTCAGACATATCTCAAATATTATTCTTAAATTTTATGTGGTATTGTTAATTATTTTCAATTTATTAGTCAAATTTAATTCAAATTTGATTGATTGTTTGAATTTTAAATTTTAAATTAAACTAAAGTACTTAATTCGGTTTAGTTTGTTAGAATACTGAATGCTTATTCCCAGGAAATTAAGTTTCATGGCTAATACTTTACTACAAAAATATTATTTTTCAAATCAAAGCACAAATTTAAAAGTGATATTAGAATTTTTTTGTTTAGAAAAATATATGTTTATTTAAAATTTTATTATAATATATCGACGTAAATTTTATAAAATCATATTATTAAATTTATATATAAAAAAATAAACTTGCAATATTCAATTGGTGGTGTTGTATATAGCTAAAGTCTATATACTTTATTATTTAGTATAATATTAATGGAAATTTTTTAAATTATTATATTTAAGAAGATTTTATAGAAGAAAAACTTATTAAAGAAATGCTTATGAAAATATAACTTTTATAAAAAAGGTTGTTGTTTGATCACGGAAATGCAAAAATGCTTTTCGTGTTAATTTACCATAAATAGCTTTATTATACAAGAATAAATCAAACCAAATATATAAAATAGAATAAATATATTTTCAAAATTTTAACATTTTAAATAAACTCATAAAAAGCCTATGAGAAGGCACAAACTTTAAGCTTTCTCCTGAAAATAGTTTATTCTTAAATGCAATAAACGCCTTTTGAAATATTACAAACAACTTAAAAAACTTCAAAAGTGTTTATGGTTTTAAATAAATTTTTTTGACAATAATCTCTCTCTTTATAGTCAGATGACAAACTCCTTTAACCATTAGGATTAATTATACCAAAAAAAGATTCAAGAGAGGTATCTATTATATTTATATAATTATTTGAGTTTATTGGGTTTGTAAAGTGTTCTATGAACTTAAGAATTAGATAGATTTCAATATTAACTTAAATATCTAAGTCACGTTAAAAAAAAAAAAAAAAAAAAAACTAAAACTCGTTTGACAGCAAGTAGATCCAACCGACCACGGTCTAATTTATAATTTAAGAAGTGCTTTTAACATAAAAAAGCAATCCAAACGATGCTTTAGTAGATATTTAATTAAAGATAAACGAAATGAACAAAATAGTAGTTTAATGAAGTGGGAGATTGAATGATGATGAAACGTTGGCTTTTATCATGATTGAGTCAGGCTTGAGTTGGATGCCACAATTTCATACCTTCACGTGACCTACTTGTGAGGGTCCACTGACGTGGCACCCAGTCATTGACTGTGACTTTTCTTCCTTCTTTTGTTTTATTCGGCTTCCCCTTTGCTATTTCCAGTCACCGTTTTTTCCACTACTTCCACATCATACTCCGTCATCCGATGCCCTCTGTTGTTTGTCGGATTGCTACGTGTCTCTGTGTCACATGTTCCTTTACTGACACGTGTATTCCTCAGGAGCACACGTATGTTAAGACATGCTAAAGAGACACCCTGTAAATGGGTTGTGTAACGAAACACGAAGACTTCGGAGTGAAGATTTTTTTTTTTTTTTTGCTTCGTTTAAGGGGAAAAGTCACTCACAAGTCACATGTACTTTTTCGTACATTTACCAAATAATAATAATAATTAAATATAAAAATAAATATCGAAGCATTTTTTAGTCCGTCCTTACTGTGGTACATCAACCGAATTAAGTTTAATATTTAATTTTTTTATTATTAAAATTAGGATTAATGAATTAATCATGTTAAGATACAATCAAATAAAATGACAAAAATTTATATGAGATTTGAAAAATAACAAAAATATATAAAATATATCTCTTTTTGTTGTTGAATGACAAACTCATTAACAATTGGAGTTAATTATATTCAAAATATCTTATGTTCGAGTTGTCAGGAGAGATATCTAATCATATTTATATAATTATTTTAGTCTATTGCGATGACTTAAGTCGATAAACATGGTTATTTTGGCATTGGAAGATGATAACTTCTGTAGATTATTAAAAAAGGATAAGGAATAAATGATAATATAATTTAAAAACTTTGAATTAGCATTAGTTTAATGGTAAGTCAGAAATCAAAAACTACGACCAAGAATGTGACACATTGCCAAATTATTAGGAAAAAATACTAAATAGATGTCGAGTTGTTACAAATTGAAAGGCAAAGGGAGTTAAAGGATAAAGTAAAATTAATAGGGTTTGTCAAGCTGTTACTTTCCCTTCTTGTGGTGGTATTGGTAAGCACGTAAGCAAACTCACCATTTTTTAGTTCAAGGACTCCATTTTCATCTATTTGTTTTGTTTAGGACAAGCCCTTGTTTCAAATTATCTACTTGTTATTGCCTTCTGAATAAATATTTTTCGATGCTCCACTGTATTGCATTATCACTATGTACCGACAATTGGGTTATTTGCCCAAATTGGTCCTATTTGATGTTAACACAATCAAGCAAAACTTGATGTGGCTAACAATCAGGTTAGAGTCAAGGAAACACGCTCTGAGTTCCACTATTTAAGATTTAAGATAAAATTTGATGAGATTAATAAGATAATATGTAATGATCTTAATTTTACAAACTTCAAAGGAGTATGAGATAAATTCGAATCTCACCAAATGAGGTTGAATATAAATATAAAGTTTTACCAAATGAGACACGTAAACTCTCATAACCCCATTTGACAGGGTGGGTAAAATAATCGCAACTCTCTGAATTCCAGTTAACCAGATGGATAAATTCCACTCGACGAGGTGGATAGAAGATATTATACAAAAACGAAACTTGTATGGTTAATAATCTCCTGAAAATTTTCTTATGAATGCTATAACATGCTCATTATACTTACTTTTGATATTTCATTTTCACTGATTAAAGTAGAATAGTGAGTGAACCAATTGATATATGGTCCAGAAAAGTCATTGAGTCCAGCATATGAATCATGAGATTGTAAGTTTGTCAAGCTGTAAAGGGGATGGAAGCTGATTGGGTTTGTGAACGATCGAATTGATGGATACAAAAATATTTCATTTCACTAATAACCACAAGAACCACATCGTCTTTGTTCTTCATTCGTTAATGACCACCACAGGAACCAAGTCATACTTCTTATTCATTCACTAATGACCACAAGTTTCAAATCATGTTCTTCTCATGTCTAATCTTGAAAAAAGCTGTCGACAGAAAAGGAAACAGTAGCTCAGATATTTCGAAAGAGTTCCTGTGATTACACTAAATAAGATTTCATTAAGAGAGAAGCTTATTGTGGTGAAGGGTCACCAACCAAATGTTTCAATTTGGCTGTAAGCTACAATATGAACAGTTGATCAAATCAAGGTTTATTAGAAAAGAACAAACAAAATTGTATAGTGATAAAAAGTAATGGAAATTGAACACCTTGAATCAGTATGTGCACATATAGAGCTATTTACAGGAGTTGACTTGTGATTTCTCCACTATTTGCAGAGTCATTAAATGTTGTTTGCTCTTTTAAGGTCTTGTTTATATCTTAATAAGCATGTTCTGCTACAAACTTGGCTGCAATAAGCATTACACAATGAGGATTCCTTCCCTACCAACGTCCAAGCATTAACTTATTCCATCTTCAGAGAAATGAAGCAAACATAACATAATTAATGTCCCATTAGGCCATTACTTGTTATAAACAAATGAAATTAACAACAGAATAAGATTATGTTATGAGATGATTAATTGTTTGTTGATTGACTTGTATGCCCATGGCTATTAAGGGTTCAACTTGTATGGCCATGTCATGAAAGGAAATCAAATGTTTGATGATTAATAAGGGTTTAGGGTTTAGGATATAGGGCTTTTGGAAAAGGAGGATTCGGAACAGTTTACCATGGCTACTTGGATGACACTCAGGTAGCTGTGAAAAAATGCTCTCTTCATCTTCAGTTCAAGGCTCTAAGGAGTTCCGGGCAGAGGTAGGCAGTGATGTAACTCCATGAAGCTATTTTGAGTTCACTTAAGTAAACATTTGATTTGATTTTTGGACTCAATTTCAGGTCAAACTTCTTATAAGAATTCATCATGGAAACCAGACAAACCTGTTGGGGTATTGCAATGAGGGCACCAATATGGGGGAAACTTGAAGCAGCTTCTTTCAGGTCTTCAATTTTGTTACTACACTTGTTCTTATTTTTTAGAATATCAATTTAACTTTCTTTTATTATAACTTTGGCCTATGGACTTCTTCATTAGACAGTTTCTTTATGAATACAGATAGAAATGCAGTTATTCTGAGCTGGGAAGACAGATTGCGAATAGGAATGGACGATGCACAAGGTTAGTAATTAAACAACTGAAGCAAACATCTTTACCTTTATGTTTCGAATAAGAGGCAAGTAGACCAATATGCATGCAATTCACAATATATGTAGGACTGGAGTACCTGCACAAAGGCTGCAAGCCTCCCATTGTCCACAGAGACATCAAGTCTTCAAACATCATATTAAATGAAAAATTTGAAGCCAAATTAGCTGATATTGGCATGTCCAGAAATTTTCCAACTGGTGGTAATCATGTGTCAACGCATTCCTGGCTATCTTAACCCTGAAGTATTTGGTTATTGATAATCTTAATTGATTTTGAAATTGAAACTTTCACAAGAAAAAAGATGTAGGTTTATTGATTTATGTTTATGCAAGTACTATGTAGCATAATTGTTGAACAAGAAAAGTG